CAGCCCAGGGAGAGGGGCTGAGCAGGGGAGCGCTGGTGTGGGGGGCCTGGGCCGCTGGAAAGCGAGTTTTGTGGTTGCTGATCAACCCTGCAGTCTGAAAGCCTTGCCTCCTAGGTTATACTAATGCAATTAAGAATTTGATTTTTCTTTTTAAGTGCAGCCACAGATCACTTAACGCTCCTGTGTATGGAGAGAGAAATTTGAACGTGTAAAAAATCTCAGACCTGAGAAGATAAAGCAGGAGCCCAAATCTCAGGAAGAGGAGGGACCTGCCCTGTTGGTTTTGAATGCTCATCTCATGTTCGGCGACTGTTTTAAAATCCTGTGCAGGTCATCAGAGCTGTCAATAATATCGAGAGGAGAAATGAAAGGAAATTACTTTTCCCCACACACACATCAGACCACCAAAAATAACCACCGCCCGCCACTCTTCGCTGAGCTACCAGTGACTTAAGAGCGCGTGTCCTTCTTGGAGCTATTACTGAGCTGTTTGTTACCCCCTGCCGTTGCGGGGGGGTACTCGAGTGTTTAGAGCGTGTGAGATAATCCAGAGACATGCTCTGTAGAAGTGGTTGCCACTTATCTGCATTCCTCCTAAATAGGCTTCGAAACGCACTGCGCTCTTTTCCACACCAAGTAGGGAAGGAGCTGCAGCCTTTGAAGGAGTGCGCTGGGGCAGAAAGGGAGGAAGGAAGCCTGGACGTCCATCTAGAGGTACGGCCGAAGCGGCGAGGAGCTGGTGGATGTTACGTATGGACATCGGCATGTCCAGGGTTACGGCTGCTGGCAGAGGAATTCCGTACCTGTCGTTGTGTTTTGGATGTCTGCGGCTTGGAAGCCTTCGTGGCTGCGTCTGTCGCACTGCGGGAAGGGCACGAGTTCCAGCCTGGCGAGGAGGCACTGGTGAGCTGGTTAGAGCAGGGAGCTGGAAGGAGATGTTTGGGAGTAGGGGGGTTTTATTATTATTGTTATCATTATTTAATTTGTGTTGTTTTGCCTGATCTGTCAGTACCGGTTTCTCTGTTTTAATATTGACACGAGGGATCTCATTTCTGGTTCCCTTTGAAAAGCTCCCTTCTGAAGTGCTGCTGTGCGTACTTGCATGCGTGTCCACAGGAGCGGCGTGGCCAAGTCTACAGGGAGTTCTCCAGGGGAACTGGGAGCTGCAGATGTTCCCAGATCCACCTGCTTCTACAGCCCGTGGACAGCCTGGCTGGCCAACCTGGCAGGGACAGCTCTGTACAGGGATCACAGAATCATTAAGGTTGGAGAAGACCTCTAACATCATCAAGCCCAACCACCAACCCATCACCACCATGCCTGCTAAACCATGTCCCAAAGTGCCACATCTACAAGGTTTTTGAACCCCTCCAGGGACGGTGACTCCACCACTGCCCTGGACAGCCTGGTCCAATGCCTGACCACTCTTTCAGTAAAGACATTTTTCCTAATATCCAATCTAAACCTCCCCTGACGCAACCTGAGGCCATTGCCTCTCGTCCTATTGCTAGTCATTTGGGAGAAGAGACCAACCCCCACCTCACTACACCCTCCTTTCAGGCAGTTGTAGAGAGCGATGAGGTCTCCCCTCAGCCTCCTCTTCTCCAGAGTGAACAGCCCCAGCTCCTCAGCTGCTCCTCATCAGACTTGTTCTCCAGACCCCTCCCCAGCCTCACTGCCCTTCTCTGGACACACTCCAGCCCCTCCATGTCCTTCTTGGAGTGAGGGGCCCAAAACTGAACACAGCACTCGAGGTTTGGCCTCACCAGTGCCGAGTACAGGGACACGATCCCCTCCCTGTTCCTGCTGGCCACGCTATTGCTGATACCAGCCAGGATGCCGTTGGCCTTCTTGGCCTCATGTTCAGCCGGCTGTTGGTCAACAGCACCCCAAGGTCCTTTTCTGCTGGGCAGCTTTGCAGCCAAAAGGATGCACCATCCCAACGTGACGCTTCGCTGTGCTGGGGCCGTGGAGCCAGATATGCCATCTGCCTGGACCGTGTGGCCGGTCCCAAGAGCAGCCTTCAGGCTAGGCGAGGCCCAGCAGGACTTTAGGACGTGGTTTGGGGCAAGCGTATGGGAGGCGGGTAGGAGAACACTGTAGCCCTGATGCAAGAGGGCACTGAGGCATGTTCTCAGCTCCAGGTGTGCACCGTAATTTCCTCAGTCTAACCAGCAGTTATTTCCACCTGCGCGCAGCAAGTCTGTATGCGGGTCCCCAGCTGATCGAAACCAACTTGTAAGTGGCGTTTCTGGAGTTACACCAACCCAGGCGCCCAGAGTTGGTTACGCTCACCCTGAGCACGCCGACTCCGTTCTGTGTATGGGAACCTGCGTTAAGCATGTGTTCCTTGGAGTGCTTCAGTAATGGTGATTGGTTTCACAGTCCGTGAATGCTGAATGCTTGTTGTCTTAATTGAATTCTGTAATTGCTAGGAAGCGTGGGCAAATGTGGAAAAGTCACTCTTCTAGATCTAGTTCTAATGAGTTTGTACACCTCCTCCATTTAATTTTATCGAACTTCTTTAATTATCATTTTATTTTTAACCTCAAATCCCTTCTTTTGAGAAGTAATTTGTTCTTTTAAGGCCAAATACTTGTGCTGTTTTTGGTGTGAATTCTTTTCTTGATGCAACAGAGGCCAGTGCTTCACAGTGAGCAACGCCGAGACTCTTGAATCAAAAAGACATCACTGAAATTGGAGTTTTATGGCGGTTGTGATATCACTGTTTCTAAACAGAGGTGAGACAGTTGAAAAATTACAAAGCACGGGGTCACAAGGCTAATTGCTGGGATGCTGCCGTTGTGGAAGGGGACCTGTGTTGCTCTGGGGTTGCAGCAGCACTGGACCTGGCCTTGGCCCAGACAGTGAGCCGGTGTTTCCCCTTTGCTCTCCTGAAAAGGTGGTAGGCTAGATTCCCCGCCTCATGGAGTTTGTAGAGACCAGAGTTGCTGGGGAAGCTTGGAGTGGAGGAAACTTTCTGATGACTTGCATGAAGCCCCTGGAGAGGGTCAGTGCTGAGGCAGAACTTCTGGGTGCCAGCAACCTCCTCAGCTTCAGAATGGCTTTAATCCTAAAGCTGGCTTGAGGCTTACTGGGGTGCTGCCTCTTCTCGTAGTCTGCTCCCTGCCCTACGAGGGACTTGTGTTTATCCAGTGAGGTTTCCGTACATAGGAGAGCGTGCTACAAACCTCCTTAGCTTGGATAGAAACGGGCTAGAATGAGAGGCTTTCTGCTTTGCTGAAGCTAAGGCATCTTTCTGTAGCCAAAACCAAAAAGAGCGTTATTAAGTCTATTTGTCGAAATTTTCAGGCTCTGTTGCCCTTTACTGTTTCAGGGTACTTACGGCTAATAGGAAAGGGTAGAGACAGAGCGGGTACTGCATGGGCAGGCACCATCGTGCAGCAGACCTTGAAGCCAGGCTCAGCTTTTGTGGGTGGCTGGTTTTGGACTGCACCCTCCGCTTCACGCTGCGTTACTGGGAGCGGCTGTGTCCTAAGGCGGGCTCCTGCCGAGCCCTCGCCAGCCCATGGTGTGTATCTCGTGTGGATGTTTTAATGAGGAAAATGCTGAAATACAGAAGTGTTGGCAGCTGTTGCTGGGGTGGCGTGCTGGAGAGCCCAGATACTGGCTGGTTTCACAGACCGATCTGTTACTATATTTGCTTGCTGAATTTTCGTTTCTTTCCTTTCGAGTGTCTGTTGAACGTGCTCATTATATTCTGGCTGGTGTGAAACAAATGCTAGTTAGGAATGGAGACGCTTGAGGCAGGAGAGCCAATTCGTTTCCCTGAAGGCAGTTTCCACCTCGTACAGTGTCCCAGTGCCGCTTCCAGTTCGTGGAACAGGATAACAAGCATCTCCAGCTCGCTTGTTTGGTTTCTTGTTTCTCTGAGCAATTTTTCCCTGTGCTTCCCAGATTAGGGCCTTTGTTTCCATGTGATTTTGCAGCTTCGGATACCTATTTCTGTTTGTGTGATGGAAATCATTAATTGGCTGGAGTTACACTTGATCTCACTCTCTTTAGCGCTAACTTTTGAGGGGGAGGGAAAGAAGATTGGAACACAAAATTAAAGAGTTTGTAATTCAACCGAGGACCTTCAGAGAGTTGAGAGATCTTGGCTAAGACGGACTTGTGTTGGAGAAATGCCGCAATTTGACCGTTCAAACCAGCATCTGTGGTGTGGCATTGAAACCCGTTGATTTGCTGCAGGCACCAGGTCCGGCAGGAGCGGGCACGGAGTACGGACTGGCCCCCCAGTTGGCCTTTGCAGACTGTTGTGACCACGAAAATGGACTTTTCCCTGCTTTGGGCCCCATCTGGTAGTTTTTCTCTTCGGTTGGTAATTTCATTGCCTTTGGTTCCAGGAGGTTTAAAGACTCTAGTTTTAAAGTTTTGCTTGCTGGAGTCTGATCTCGAGCGCACCAGCGGCGCTGCAGGACTGGGAATGACTGGTGCGGAAGTCAACACGCATTTCGACCAGCATCTCTGCTGTTTTGCGGCATCTTTCAAAGGAGAGGCTGACTTTGATCTGAGCAACGGATCACCTTGAAATCTGGCAGAGGTCTAAGCCGAGGGTTTTAGCTTAAAGCTTTCAGTCTCGCTGAGATTTTGGTATTTTTTCTTGAAGGTGATGCACTTTTTATATGTTAGAAGCTAGCCAGACTTACACTTTGCCGTGTATAGATTCTTGGGCTTTCATCGGTATCCTGTGTTTGATGTTGAGGATTAAAGTCTGAAAGTAGTACCTCTACTGGGTGGGAATACTCTTTAATTTCTGGTAATTACCAGCAACAAATGTAACTGGTGGTTGACATAGATCTGTTTGGGTTTTGGAACTAATTTTTTTGAAGGAACTGTGATGAGTACCTTGACTTTTGTGAGGAATGTTCAGCATCGCGTCCAGCGCTGTCTGGGCAGGCATGAAACGTAACGTAACCTTTCTGCCTTTCGCTTTGCGCAGGCATAAACAGAACCCAGAAGTGAAGACGGCAAGTCCCTCTGCCACAATGAGCTCTGGTAAGTCCGTGGTGTTTCCCACTCACCCTCACTAGCATTCCATTTTATTACTAGAAATACCATTTTTATTATTAGAAATATTCCTGCCTGTTCCTGGTGCAATTACTCTTTCTTTTTTTGATTCTTCTTCTGCCTCCCAGAAGAGAGTCCAAGCCCTTGAAAACTCAGGGAATCTAACTATTATGGCAACAGCGGAATGGCTTCATGGGAAAAAGTGTCCTGGCTTCGCATTTGTTGTTTCTGTTTGGGCCATAATGCTGGAAAAATGACTAGAAACATCTTGAGCCGGAGTAGGTCACTTGAGCTGCTTTCAGTTTGGAATTCAAGAATTGAAAATTACTGATTACCTGAAAAAATTACCTGCAACAATTTGATGTATTTTAGTAGGGGTGATAGCGAAGTTTGATATCTGGATAGGAAAAAACCAGCTGCTCAAAGAAAAATGGGGGCTGGCTGGGAAGAGGAAAGCTGCTGGGTTTCTCCGGGTAACAGGCTGAGTCGGAGGGAAACCCGAAGCGGGCGCCATCCTGAAGAGCCGTATGTAGGACTTGCGGAGTAATATTCCCACTTGATTTTAGCACCTTATCAAGTCTGAGCTGGAGTATCGGTCTGGGTTTTTAGCACCACATTTTGAGAAAAGTGCGAACCATTTGGAGAGAGTCCAGAGGAAAACTAGGAGAGGAACCGGGTCCTGAAGAACAGGAGCTGGGAGCTTGGCCTCAGCGCTGGTAAGCTTCCAGGTTGTGAAGCACTGGAACAGGTTGCTCTAGGGTGATGCTGGAAGCCCCTAAGAACTCGTTAGGCAAATGTTTGTCAGAGTGGCGGAGGCAGATTTGTTTCTGCCGTGGATCAGGAAAGCGGCTTTAGGTGACCTTTGGAGGGCCTTTCTAGGATGATCTTCTGTGTTTCTCTGAATTCACAAGAGTTTTACTCATGTCAGCTGAGGACTTCGAAAATCTCTCTGGAAAGTCTCATCGCGGAGCTGGATGCCATAGGCACGTACAAAGTCCCTGTTTAAAGGAGGCTGCGATCCAGGTGGGCAGAGTGAGAGGAGAAGCAGGGGCATCATCCAAGGGAGACTTGCGTTTCCAAGTCGCATCTCCCGAGACCGTAGGAAGAACTCCTGGTTCGTGGATCAAACAGTGCTGACCCATGGCATCCCCTCATAGTCAGACGTTGAACTCGGCTGCAGAGGTTTTAACCCAGAAGTAATCTGCTGCTTTGTCTGTCTTACAGAACACGAAGAAACTGATGTTGCGAAAACTGTTGTCAATGGGCTGAGCAGCATCGGACAGGAGAAAGGTGGGTGAGGAGCTTCGCAGCCGCCTCGGCAGCTCCCCTGCATGTCCGCTGCGTGCCGTGCTTGGTCTCCCCGGGCATTCGCTATGGCAGGGTTTCCAAATTGAGTGTGCTTGGCGACTGGTACAAGCAGAGCCTTGTGCTGCGCCGTGCCAGCAGCAGCGGCATTTCTTAGCTCAACAAGGGCTCTTTGTCTCTGGAAGGTGGCAGGCTGGGTTGGTATATTTTTAGTGCTGTTTTGAGGGAAGCTGCGCGCTCCTGGTGAGCACCTGTGGGTCAATACCTTGGTGCCTTCAGACAGCGTGGCTCTGGGGGTGCCTCCATGTGAATCCTGGTAGCTTCCACAGGAGGTGAAGGTTTGAGCTCAGGATTAAAAGGCAGGAACAAACCTTTAAAAAAAAAAAAAAAAAAAAAAATCTGTCGTTAGCAATGATTTAAAACCCAAACTTGTCTAAACAAACCAGTCTTCATGTGAACGTCGGCAGGTTTGCAGCGTGCTTCGTAGCGTTCGACTTTGTGCGGTGGTGGTGTGTGTTTTGGCAGGGTGAAAGTATGTGGCTGCATGGGTTGGTTTTCTGCTGGTTTCGTTTCCTTGCTTTTCCTTTGGTGGCTTTTTATAGTGGTGAGTATTTTGACTGGGTGAATTCAGTCGGTCAGAGAACAGAACAGAATTAGGGTTGTTTCCTAAAGCACAGACTGTTTGGATTTGGGATCTGTTGTATTTGCAGGGCCCCCAGTGCTCAGGGAGGAGCATGGAGAACAGGGTTTGCTTTGGGTTCCGCTTTTACAAAGAAAGAATTTAAAACAATCCACCAAATTAATGATTTTATGAGGTTGGAAGAAAATTCTCCCATCTTCCCCATCCTTTTGCCTGAGAGGCCGTTTCTGGATGGGTGAAGTCTGTGCTTCCCGGTGTTGGCAGGACCAGGGAGATGTGCTGCCGAGGGGGTGTCCACGCCGCCTCGATGCCGGTGTGCGAGGCGTCAGCAGTGGGGTCACTCGTACCCCCGGTGCTGCAGCCCTGAGAGAGGTGTGCTGCCGAAGGGGTGTACTTGTCACCCCGACGCCGGTGTGCGAGGCGTCGGCGGTGGGGTCCCTCGTACCCCTGGTGCTGCAGCCCTGAGGGAGGCGGCGTGGAAAGCGAGGAGGCATCGAGCGTTTTCCAGTTAACGCGTGCAGGAAGCTGGTAGGCTTCAAAGGAGAAAATCCTGGCTCTGCAGAAATGAAAAGCCCAACCCCAGTTATTCTTTTTTCAAGTCAGTTGCTGTTTACAACCGGTTTATCTTGGCGGATCCTCTTGAGCTTCACCTCTGAGTAGTGTTGCCGTTGTGTGGGGTTTTTTACCACTGCTCCCCTGCCCCACTTTTTTTTTTTTCTTTTAAAAAAAAGTTCCACGTTAGCTGCCATACGGAGCCGGGGAGAGGAAGCACCAGCTGCTTGGGACAGTTTGGGAACAATTGCTAGGATGTAGCACAGGGCTGTGTATGGTTTTCCACTGTGTTCCTACACCTAGTGCAATGAGCGTGCTAGCTGATGGAGCCCAGCAGAAATCTCTTCGCTTATCTGTTTAAACGGACATTTTTTTTCTGACATGGGTATTTTGATGACGCTACCTTTTGGCATGGGACTCTTCAAGATTATTTCATGTTTCACTTCCTTCTGTTGCTGAACTTGTAAAATATGTGCCATAAAATCCAGAATTCATGTAGGTGACCCTGCTTCAGCAGGGGGTTGGACTAGATGACCCACAGAGGTCCCTTTCAACCCCGAACATTCTGTGATTCTGTGATGTGGCCAGTTTCGTGTTCCTCTCTCCACCTTGCAATCCTTGTTTTTTCACTCTGTTTTAACTGAGCAATATTAATGTTAACATTTTTATTTTTGCATGTAGTGTGTCTCAGCTAAACGATCACACTAAAATTGTTGGATGGCTTGTGAAAGCTAACGCTTCCCGGTTCCGTCTGCCTGCAGCGTGGCGGCGGTCAGTGGCTGGTTGATGCGGAAGGCAGTTCGGTGTGCTGCGCAGAACAGACACGTCCCGAACTGGGGCGGACGGAGGGATGTTTTGAACGGTCGCATCACTGCTCTCTGGCCTGCTTTTGTATTGGAAATTTCCTGCTATTGTGTCTCCAAGTACATTAGACAATTTAGTGGCATGCTTCCCAAACTCTGTTCTTCCCTTTTTGGATGTGCCATTTACACTTTTGTGTTTGCAGCTGTTGATGTCCCTTTATGTACACGCTCTATTTCTGCCGTTAAAATAATCCCTGTGAAGAAAGTGAAAAGTTCTCCTCACCTAGTGCTGCCTACAGGTATCTTCTTTCTTCCTCCCCCGCCCTGCAGTAGCTGGCCATCACTCTCCCTCTCCTCTCTCGCTCTTTCTCGCTCTCCGCTTCACCCACGCACTTTGGCTAGAGTTCAGCTCCATCCTCTGCTTGCTGTTTCCAGAGCCGCAGACTTCATCCGTGGGTAACAACGTTAGCTCTCAGTGGCACAGTACGCTGCTCTCAATTACACTGCTCCTCTGCAGACGTAATCGTGGCTGCTTGAAGCTGGGATCATTGCGAGCTCTTCTGCTCGTGCTTGATTATGAATATTATTGTTACAGGCTCATTACGAACCAGACTCCTGGTGAACCAGAGAATGTTTCCCGAGTGTCTTGAGTCTTCATGAAAATAAATGGGTGTCGGATGGTATTTTACAGGTTCAAGCATAGTTCAGCGTTGGTGGGGCGGTTTTGTTTTTCTGTACATACATTGACTTTCCAGAATCTTTATATGCGTAAGTAAGGACGTTGGGCTGTCTGTCACCGCTCCCCAGGCACGTGCTTTCCCACTGAAATAGGACTTTTTGTGCTTTGGATTTGGAGAGTGATACTGCTCGTCTCTCCTGATGCCACCCGTGTGCTCCCTGGGACTGGTGCAGTGCTGCTCTCATGCTGGGTACCATCCGCTGGATTTCTCTGCTGAGAGAGCCAGAGTTTTGTTTTCCGTCACTTCACATAAATTTTGAGGGAGCTCAACATCTCGGGTATTTGTCGTTCCCTCCCAACTCGAAATAATCTGACAATATTTTATTTTCAAACCTTTTAAAAACATTTCAGTTTTGGAGGGTTCAGAACATTAATTTTTTTTTCTGATTATTATTCTTTTGATTCGGTATGCTGGTTTAACATGTTGTATGAAAATTAAAAAAGTGCTTTGATTCCCAAATTTGATTCTCCTCCAGTATGATGGAGACATTTATGGCATGTTGATCCATGGTTGCCTTTCTCTCTGGTGCCTGGGAAGGGAATCTGAGCCTAGGAGCACAATTCCCTTGCGTTCTCTGTGGGTGTCTAAATCGGGCCCGGTGACTCCCAACGGCACGTCCGTGCCTCCGAGTTACGGCACCCTCGAAGCCGGAGTCCCAGAGCTTCAGCCTGCGTCCTCTGCTTTGACAGTGGGTCTGCAGAGCCCTCGAGCTGCGTGCTGTGCTGCCTGGATGGGCACGGTAGCCAGAGCCGGCCAGAAGGAGCCCTGACCCTGCGTGGACCATGCGAAAACGGTCGCCAGCAGAAGGCACCTTCTGTTTCACTAGGCGCGTGGGCGACCTTCAGGCACCATCGGTTGTGTGGTGGGAGTGCAGATGTGGCGTACGGAAGGGTTAAGCAGCATTTGATACCCCTGTGTGGGTAGTCTTTCCCCTCGCAGAGGTCGCCCGAGTTGAGGGCTGAATGGTAGGAGAGCATCCTCCGATTCCTTCCCTGTTCCATCCTTTCTTCAGTCCTTGGTGTGGATCTGAACGTCTGCCTCTTGTGAAATCCCCAAAGCGTTGAAAGCCCTCCTGAAAGCTTGAACTGGGGCGATTCCAGCCTGGAGGGCTTCCGATGGGAGCCAGGTGTCTGCCATTCCTCGAGTCTTTCCCCTTAGTGCTGCCGCCCCTCTGACACTGTTGGTGTTTCCCTGTCTTGTGGCCACCTCGGCTGTGGTTTGCAGCCTTGGCTGAGGTGTTGTCGTGGTCTGTGGGCACTGTACTGGTGTGGGTTTAGTGGGACTTTACCTTACTGAAGTCAGCCAGGGGGTATCGATCTGCAGAAACGTGGGCAATGAGCGGCAGCCTTTGCCCCCTCTGCCCAACACGAAGGCATGGCTTTGGTTATAACGCCGATTCCTAGAGAGGAGCTGTGGCCCTCCCCGTGCGGAGACAGCACAGTCGTCACTCTGCAGAAACAGAAATCATCGTGCTGGCATTTGTGTAACGCAGCGCACGCGTGCTGTGGCAGGGCTGGCACCTCTGGTCAGGTAGGGCGAGGTGAAGGCTCGTGGGAGCTGCAGGGTCAGTAATGGTGCAGGAGAGGGGGAGGTAAAGGCTTTTCCTGTGGAAGTAGCTTGGGTGAGCGAAAGACTCCTTAGGCTTATTGTTTCTGTAGGTACCTTGGAGGAAGCAGCTCTCCAGAGGGATTTCAAGTAAGGGGAGGGAGATAGCCTTGAAGTACTGGTTTGTTATTACTTAATAGGATGACAGGAGGAAAAAAACCCAAATCCATGGTCTGAAATGCAGACGGGTCAGCCTGCCCTGGAGCTGTGCTGAGTCGGGCCTCGGCAAGGATGCTGGCATGATGCGGTGGCTGGCTCACAGGGGGTTCTGAGCAGGCATATGTTCAGTCTCCGTCTAGGTTTTGGGATTTGGGTTCCTGTGGCAGAAGGTGAAACCGGGGAGATGGTAAGGAGGTGGCTTGCCTTTAGATCATATTCAGCACAGTTACAAGATTTTATTCTCCAGTGGTCATAAGACTTTTTTTTTCCCTTTTTCAGTCTTGCCTGAAAGGCATTTTTAAGGCTTCAGCACACAAACCGTATTGCTTTACACCCCTGGGACCTCCCTGTAGAAGAGCCACAGGTGTAATGGTGGCGTGTCCTTGCTAGCACAATATCCCCCCACAAAGCAGCCCAAGTAAAGCAGAGGGACCTGTGACAGCTGGTTCAAACGCTCGTCCTTTTTGCCTCCTTTCTTAGCTCTGTTACGCTGACTCTGAACTTACCTCTACATTCATCAGTTACATGAATATGAAACTGCTTTGATTTCTCAATGCTTTGAATCCAGAGCTAATCCTCATCTGCATAAACATTACTAGATTGATTCACCTGGAGGCAGCCATGCTAAAATTACTCCGTAGAGCTCCGATGGCTCCTAATAGCGTCTCATCTGTTCCAATGTGTCTCCTCTGTGCGTGTGCGTTTCCTGTAGAAACAGATCCCACCAAAGTCTGCAGCGGGAAAGGAGCTGTGACCCTCCGGGCATCTCCTGCCTATGAAGAGAAGCAGAAGATCCCTTCGCCATGTCCTCAGGACGTTGAGCAACCTGAAAGTAAGTGTGTGGAAGGTTAACTAGAATGTGTTACTCGTGATAACCTCAAGTGAGCTCAGGCCAGGGTCTTGGGGTGACTTTTTTTTGCTACAATTTAAAGCCCAAAATCCCATAGCGTAGTTGGAAACCCCTTGCAAGAACCAGACTGGTGGAGGGAGACTGACTCCTGTTCTAGTGCAGGTTTCATGCTCGCTACTCATTGGCTTCAGTTTGTTAACAGCTCCATTCTGCTGTCAGGAGTACCAAAAACTCTCAATTTTGTTGGGTTGTTTAATTTTTCTTCCCTGTCAGGCCGTTGCCACCTCCTTTTTTCCCAGGTGTGAGGTGGAACAGAAATAGGCCGGGTGGTGCTGCTGCCACCGTAGAATCGCAGAATCGTGAAGGTTGGAAAAGACCTCTAAGATCGCCGAGTCCAACCGTCACCCCAGCACCACCCTGCCCGCTGAACAGCGTTGGCTGGGGTTGTCAAGGGAGCGGGGACAGCGTCCCAGGCAGACGGTGCTGCCACACAGCTCTGCCCTCGTTCAATAGCAGACGAGCAATTACTTAATTGTGGGAGACAGGCAAAGCAGAACAAACCTGGCCAGTGCCATGGGTCTGGCAGAGGGGATGAACTCCCAAAGACAATATGCCGTGAAGGGGGTCGGGGGTCGGACTTGCTCTTGGAAGCAAAGCATACGTCGTTTCTGGCTGCGTTGATGGAGGAAGGGCATTGCCATGAATTCCAGCCCCACTGTGCTGCTTGCTGCTCCGTCTTCTCCACCCGTGACCTGACCTCTTCTCGTGCTCACCATTCTCTGTTTCTTCGCTCCTGCCCCCCACCGTTGCCTCTCTCCTTTCTGTGGATGGCTTCATAAATTTCCAGCAGCCTGAATGGCAATGAGCCCATTACTATGGAAATCAGCTCATTAATACTTCCTTTACTTACTGTCTCGGTCGCTTTATGAAATGCACTTCGGAGCTGGAAGGGCTTTTTGCACACAACTTAAACAGCAAACTGGGGGTGGGGAGGAGCCCCGAGGGGGTGGTAAAGGGGTGCTGAGACCAATGCACCGAGCTGCAGGGGCTGCCTCGCAAAGCGACAGTGTGTTTTACAACTCCTGCCGTGCACTCGCACTTAGGAAAGCCCGCTCTGTTTGTGGGCAGTGCTTTGTCTCCATTAATCCACCTGTACTGTGCACCAGTATGGGCTGGGGTGGACCTGCTGGAGAGCAGCTCTGCGGAGAGGGACTGGGAGTGCTGGGGGACGACAGGTTGACCATGAACCTGCAGTGTGCCCTGGGTGCCAAGAAGGCCAATGGGATCCTGGGGTGCATTAGGAGGAGTGTGGCCAGCAGGTCGAGGGAGGTTCTCCTTTCCCTCTACACTGCCCTAGTGAGGCCTCATCTGGAGTACTGCATCCAGTGCTGGGCTCCCCAGTTCAAG